CAGCAGGTCTGCTCCCTGATTCTGGGTCCAAGGGACATACATCGCTCTGAGGGACAGCAGTCTCTACTGGGACCACAGGAGGATCCGATAATGGGCGTAATGGGCATAATGGGCGCGAGCGCAGACCCCCCTGGTGATTGAAATAGGCCACCACCGCCATGTTGTCGGTCCTGACAAGGACGTGGCGACCGCGGAGAGCGGGCAAAAAACTCCTCAGAGCTCTAAAAACCACCAACATTTCTAGGCAACTTATGTGCCAAGAGAAATGATGCTCCTCCCAGGAGCCTCTCGCGAAGCGGCCGTCCCGTGAGTGAGGCGTCTGTCGAAATAATTGTCGACATTACGCTCCCAACACGGGCCCTTGGGACAGGAACCAAGGTTTCTTCTATACTGACAGGGAACGAAGGCACCCTGCTCGTAATCCGTATCAGACGGAATGGATTTCCCCTCGGGGAGAATCCCTTCTCCTTCTTGGGAACTATGAAGTACCGGCTGTAGAACTTGGACTCCCTGACTGGTGGGGAAATAAGCTCTCTGACCCCGTTTTCCAGCAGAGAGCGAACTTCTTGTCCCAACACCTGGCTGTGCCCCGCGTGCACTGCAGTCCAGACCACCCTGTTGAACTTCTGCGGGGGGTGGACCCGGAACTGCAGCCTGTAGCTATCCACTACGGTGTGCAGGACCCACGGGGAAATATTCGCATGGCTCCGCCATTCTTGTGGAATGATGATCCCATGGTGTGTGAGCCCGATCGTTTTCCAGCTGCAAGCCCTCGAGGCGGGCAGACTGGTGAGAGCTCGCTGGCGGTTAGCGTGTCCCGAGCGCCAAGACGGTGGGAAAACAGCGCCTGTTTCCTGAGCTGCCACAAGGGAGGGGACCTCGGTCAGCCTCTCGGGGGGCTGTGAGCGAGAGCGCTGCCTCGCGCCAAGGTTTTGTTGAGAGGCGACTACGGAAAGCGACGCTTCGCTTCTGGCTCCGGCGGTAGGAGCTAGACGAGGGCTGAGCTCGTCTCTCTTCAGCCGTCGCCGTCCTGGACCCAGACCGGCGGGGGAGATATTGATCAAACGCCTCTCCCTGCATTCCAACGTGCTGAAACCTGCTGATGACAGCATCCACCGCCTCACCAAACAGGCCAGTAGGAGAGAGGGGCACATCCAGGAGAAAAGCCTCCTCCTTCCCCTGGATGCCCGAGAGGTTGAGCCACGATGCGAGGGTGGGAGAAAGATAGCTTGCGAGCGCTTTCTCTCCCCAAGGCATCGTTCCGTTCTCTTTAGCCATGCTGCTTAGTTTCTGTCACGCTGCTGTAGTCCAGCAGAGGGGACACAGTCAGCCGTGCAGAGCAGCCTTTTTTTTTTGGTCTGTTCCTCTCATAGCTGGGCGCGGTCTTATGACGTTGGCCCGGCTCCCGGAAGTCATCCTCCATGATGCTAAGCACGTCTAGCTCCTCAGAATCAGACTGTGCAAGCCTCTCCAAACTCATACCTCGGGCAGGAGAAGCCGAGAAACGGACTCCCGAACGGGGAGACGAGGAATGGGAAAAAGCCTCTGCAGTCCCGATGTCCTCGGAGATGTAGCGCTGGGCGCCCCATGACCGGCCTGCTGAATAGAAAAAGGCTAATGTGTCCTGTGTGCCGGCGTGCTTATATACGCCTCCAGTTACGCCGTCACACGCTACCGTTCTAGCAACACCAATAGGATTGGAGTAGTTTCATTCATGTTTCAGCCCTGCCACGCCCAGAGGCGTTCCCATAGTGTCGTCACAGACACAGTTAGAGTTCCCTCGCAGGGGAACCATTTTTCCTCTTACCTGGTCCTTCTCCCAGTAACTGAGAGCAAAAGGACCCAGCGGCAGACAAAGCGAATGGAGAGAGGGCAACAGCAAACAACGGGAGTATGAGAAGTTGAAGGTGTCCCCATGCTGAATCCAGTTGGACCAGTTGGAGGTGTAACTGCAGCTGAGGGTATATCTGGTCCTCAAAGAAGGGAACTTGTTTGAAGGTGGCAGAGGACAGAAAGCCAAGGGGAAGAGAACAAACCAGGACATGCACAAAACCACTGCACACAATATTTGGGAGAGTGCATAATATTTCCAGGTGACTAATTCACACCCTAACCGAGCACTACCAGTGAAGAATGACCCAGTTCCTGTAAACTAATGAGTCTGGGGGGGGGGGCGGTTAAACTCCAAATACTTTATATTTCATCCTGAGGACAGCAGTATCTGGTTGACTCTGGAGGCTCATACTGTCTCTTGGTGTAGTTAGGTGATGGAGTCTTTTGCTTAATCCGCACTATGTCCTGTTTATGTCCACACAGCCTTTAAAACACCAGAGAGCATTGATGGTTAAACCACAGGCAGAAACTTTTTTTAGATGATGAGGTAACTGTCGTGGCAAAGACAAAACCTGTTTTGTCTAGTTAGAGTGAGATGAATAGCAATTCAATTCTCACGGTTTTCATGCAGTTGATACGCAGATTGAATACTTCTGCACAAACCTCACAGGGACACAGAGAGAAGTCTAATAATAATCATACTTTATCCTTAGTCAACATTCACTCTTAGGTTATACTTAACTGTGCATATTCTTCATTATGTTTTGGCAGCTACAACAAGCACATGAGCATTTTAACACACCAATTCCCATAACAGAACAAAGCACACTGAAATCAATTTAAGGTTTTTATTGCCACGAGCTCAGGACGAAACAGTCAACAAAGATCCAGACAAAATCTATACTTGAGTTACAACAGTAATTAGAGCTCTAATTACAAATGACACCCAAAGTTAAGATTTCCAACATTTAAAAATGTATTATTTCAAAAATGATTTTCAATAAAACTAAACTAATTTCCGTCACTAATTCATAATATAACAACATTATATACATTTTGTAATAATATATATAATATTGTGAATATTGTGAAATTAAGTATTTAATCAATCCAACATATTCTCACTCTTTTCTGGGGACCTGATAAAGCTGTAAAGGGCTGCTGTTCCCCAAAGTTGACTTAAGGTCTTTTAGAAACAGATGAACTACAGCAGTGTTAAAATCTGTGGTTATTTGTTCTCTAATAGGTGACATTGAACTATAGATAACCATTTCATTCCAGTTCTTTGTAAAAATGTCAATAATTTTATTGTGGATCAGTGGGTGAAATGTGAGTGAAGAAATTATTTTCACTCCACGGGCCACATGTTGGTCTTTTCTCAGATTAACTGAATTTTCTGCCAGTTTCACAAGTTTGTGGAGACACGATTGAATATCATCTTTTGGTTTGCTTCTTTGTTTTGTGTCTTTAATATCTAAGAGTGTCCGGTAGATACCACATTTTAAAACATCTTTTCTGAAAAATGTACTGTCCAGTTTGAAAGGGATTTTCTTGCATGTTTGAACATATGGATAAAAACAGCTGCTGGGACTTGAGATGTCAGAGAACTTGAGATCTGCAAAATAATTTGGACCCGTTAGTCCCCAAAACTTTGTGAACGCCACATCAGTAAAAAATCCATATTTACTGAGCCACTGATCAGCCATCTCTAAAAGTTTAAACATACATGGCTCAATATGTTTTTCTCTCTTCAAACAAGGACTGTTGAGAGTATAAATTAAAATATGCCGCACATTTGTTCCGTTGTTCAGTAGAAATTTGTCAATTTGTCGAATTAAGCTTTCCTCACTGTGTGATGTAACTTCAGTGGAAGGAGAAGCAGAATTTTTCCTCTTCTTGTCTCGATAACATGGACAAACGCCCTGAAAATGCTTATATTTACCATTTTTCATTATAATAACAGCAAATGCATATTGTTTGCCCCCTTTATGTTTCTTGTGGTAATATTTCAGCCAAAACTCCATATGTCTACCTGCAGGCACTGCATTAATACCTAATACATTTTTACATTTGAAAATAATTTCATTGTTCGATTAAAAAGTTCCTTTTTGACACAATTTGTTTGCTTTTTAAAATTGTCTTTTAACCACAGAAGATTTTTTTGTGTACAGAAAGTCTGTCTTATACCTACAGTACTGAAATCAAAGGGGCTGTAATTTGGTAAAACAAGTGCAGCCTGTAAATCTTGTAAATTGGCTGTTCTTGATATCATTGAAGGTAAATTACTGGCATTTCTAACTGGGCTCAAATTGTTTTTTACCGGAATTGCAATAAGGTATAAATTTAGGTTTCTGAAAGAATGCAAATGAAACATATTTATATTGAAGTTAGGTAACTGAAAATCTTCATCAAAATAATAGTTTTGAAAAATGTTGTTCTCCAGCCCATAGAGATGATCCTCCTGCTGCTGGTCCTCTTCCCTGGATAATGAAAAAGGGTGAACTTAGTTTAATTCACACGACAAAATCTTGTGCTTAACATTATATTATTTAACCTTTCAGCTGCAATGATCCCCATAAACTGAATACATTCAGCTACAACTGTAAACTGCCAACTGACAAACTTGTCAAAGACCAAGTGAACTCTGTGGTTGTGTTGGATTGAAAGATAGGCCTATTTCATATTCAATATCCTCTCCACTGGTTGGACATTGGGATGGACAAAGCATTATAATACTGCTCAAGATAGGCTAAAGGAGTTCAGTAGAACAACACAGCCGAGAGATACTGTCTTCTCAAGAAAAACAAAAGAATCAGTCGATTCATGACATTTACTTTAAGTGACAACGCCCTCTGCAGTCGTAGTAAATATGATAGGAGCAGAAGAAGTCTGGTTTTAATTAAGTGACAAAGTCTGTGTATGGAGGAGGTCAGGCTGAATGGATGAGTCACCAAAAAGTTAAACTTGAACTGCCCTAACTTCCCCTAAACTTAAGACAATTCACTGTAACCCAATCTATCTTTCCCTAAACCCAACCAAGTAGTTTCTATGCTTAAACCGTAACCATATCATCATAAAAAGTAGGCTATTTAATTTTTTGACAGCAGTTCATTTTAAGATATGGAAGGAATAGACAAATGATGCTAGGCCTATAGGATAGGCCTATATAACACGTTTGTGTTGTTCTTCACCAAGTTTGATGTATTTGACTAGTTAGTTGAAAAAATAAATAGGTAAGATCACAGAAACCCCAAAGGGCATGAGTATAAATAAATCATGTTAAAATAGGGGTCATTATTGAAGCATGCTTAATATTAATTACTGTAATATTATTATCCTATTTAGAGTTATAATAATGGGCTAAAACAGCATGCCATTTCTGGAGTTTACCTCTGGGGTGTGAAGAGCTGCACCTCGGTGGAACTGGTTGAAAACATCTCTTCTCTCTCAAGCATTTCAGGAACTTGTTGTCTGCTTCTGTCCGGCTTAATGAGGGAAAAAATCGATTTATTGGTAAAATGGTCTGTAGCCTATACTGTGTTCCAACCACTCAAAGCGTTTCACTACACCTCGCCCCATTCATACACTTTAATCTGGCACTGTGGCACAGCCTTGGGGAGTAAGATGGGGTTCAGGAACACTTCGACGTGCAGACTGAACTGCCTAATTCCCGAGTGGGCGACCGCTCTACCTCTAGCCTTCCCAAATATTAGGCTACACATATAAAATTGGGTCCAAATGATGTTCTTACAAGAAGAGAAAACGAACGTTTGTTAAAGATTTCTTGATGTTGGTTAACAAACGTGTTGTTTAAATTTAAAGTGTAGAGTATAGTTACCTGCATGGCTTGGGGCTGCAGACACTAAAGAAAAAACATTTGATTAGGAGGATAAAAAGATAATTTAATTTAAAGTAGCATATAGGCCTAAACGTTTGTAGCTTTTGCTTTAAATTTGGTCAGGATTCGGCAACTTAAGGCTACAGACAAAACACCCTGCATGAAAAACAGAAAGCTTAGCCAATTTGTTCAAAATAGTCGCGACTTACCAGAATGGATCCGCTAACCCCATTAAGCAGGGGTTGACAGATGTGTTCTAGAGGATATTTAAAAAACGTAAATCTTACTATTCCATAAGATCCTGTGTTTTTTTCAGAAATCCAGTAGATAACAGACCTGTCAACCCCTGCTTGATAATACGTTTTTCTTTCTTGCTTTCTTCTTTTTTATGTTGTGTAGCCTTCTTCCTTGAAGAAAATTTACTTAGTTTTTGTGTGTTCCTGTGTTAACCTAACCGGCTTTGGCTACTGAAGTAGTCAATGTTTGATGGAGTTCATAGATGTGTGGCTGCTTATAAATCTTCCCATGGCCAATCATTTTGGAGAATCTGCTGTCGCGTGCCATCTTTCGTTACGGAGCTACAGAGGCTGGACTGATGGGATTTTGATAGTAAATTTCGAGCAGCACACCACAAAGCTTGTTCAATCATGTTTTTATCAAAAATTCGATCTATGTTAACTTTTAAGGACACCGAGACCATTTTACATGCCTTCATCTCATCACGCCTTTTCACCTGTTTAACCCAAAAATCTATTGATCGACTCCAGACTGTCCAGAACTCAGCTGCCAGGCTTTTAACCAGAACAAAGAAATATGACCACATCACCCCTATTTTAGCTTCACTACACTGGCTCCCAGTATGTTTTAGAATTGACTTTAAAATTGTATTGATCACTTTTAAAGCTCTTCATGGCCTCTCGCCTTGTTATATTTCTGACCTTTTAGTCCCATACACACCAGCACGAGATCCTCGGCCAGAGGTCTGTTGTCTGTTCCAGAGTCTCGACTGAAAACTAAAGGGGACAGAGCGTCGGCTCTCTTTAGTCCCTTCTTTTAACTCTTTTAAGTACCTTCTTAAAACATACTTTTATAGGAGAGCCTTTTCCCGATCTTATTTGACTTTATTTTGTCCCTTTTATTTTATTCTGCTTTACTCATTTTATATTTATCTTAAACGTGTATTTTAGTCTTTTCAATGTTTTCTTTCTTGTTTCTGTATTGCTTTTTGGGGTATTATTGTCTTTACACTTGTTAAAGCACTTAAACTTTTTGAAAAGTGCTCTACAAATAAAGATTATTATTATTATTATTATTCAAGTTTAAAGGGTGGAGCACCCATGTGTTAGAAATGACAGTGTCAGATTGACGAGACCCTCCTCATCCGCCTTTACCTCCAGTTTCTCACTGGTTGTTGTTCACTGATGGGCTGAGACATGATTTAAAAGTAAAGGGAATTTTATTCAGTAAATGAAAAAAAGGAACTGAATATGGCTGCTGAGAGGGAAAATGACAGTGTCAAATCGACGAGACCCTCCTCAACCTCCTTTGCCTCCAGTTTCTATCAGGGGCAGCGTCTGTGGGTCCTTCCACTGAGCTCATCAGAAGTCCCGCTCCACATCTCATTCAGATCTTCAGCTGTTGCTATTCACCCTGCACCACCACCAGCCTGCATCAGGGGGCATTCCTGTAGGCCCGTGATGTGGCCACGACGAAATACTAGCCGACCTAGTCCTACCTTTTCACATTTTTCTATTGTGCACACTATGTCAAATAAATTAATTGAACGACTCTTTAAGCTGCTCTTTCAATAAAGTCCCTCGATCATAACTGAAATAATGAATGTCTGCCGTATTTTTCATTCTTATGGGATTTCAACAAGTCAGTACTTGAGACTTGAATGCTTTTAAATGTGAAGTCCTATTTTTTTTCCCCTGAGCATGAAAAATCTCAAATCATTGTTTAGGCAAATATGCAAAGAGAAGCCCATATACTCTCATACATGACGTCTTAAAGGGAGACTGATGGAAAGTAGGCTATGTAAGTTATCAGCTACACCACCTTGGGAATTGAAATACCAACAAGAAAAAATGTACAGCCAGATAACTATAAGATTAATCTCACTGGTTGTTGTTCACTGATGGGCTGAGACATGATTGAAAAGTAAAGTGAATTTTATTCAGTAAATGAAAAAAAGGAACTGAATATGGCTGCTAAGAGGGAAATGATTCCCCAAACTAGGGACAAAAGGTGTTATTAATATGTTTTACAGAAAAAAAAGGAAAAAAGAGGCCAAGTCTGGTAACAAATATCCAGGGGTGCCACCATGCACTCACCACTAAAGTTTCTTCACAGAAACCTATACAGATACACACACAGAACAAAACAGAATTAGTTTTTTGTCCCAGTGCCTTTAACCAAACCATGCAGTGAAGGGACCTCACTAAAGATGACTAGCCTCACCAATCAGAAGCAAAACGAGATAAAAATGGCTTAAAAGGTGTACATGAATGGCAACTGAAGTCAGATTCTCACTGGAAGTTAAACTAGAGCTGTTTCTTTTCCTAGTAAAGCCTACTGTAAATATTTCCCTCTTGTTTCATTTACTGTGAAATCTGCACGTTATAATCTTTCACTTTTGTTTGTGTAATTCACGTTTATTGTGCAACTATGGGTGCAGTCTTACCAGAAGTGGCATGATGAAACCATACACCGGTATGTTGAAACTCTCTTGCATGATACACTGAATTGAAGCAATGGCTTATAAACAGATTCTTAGTTCTCAGGCTCCCTCTAAAATTGCTCACATATGTTAAAAAAATTAAAAATCAAGTAAGTAAAATTTGAATCTAAGACATAAAACAGTGCAGAACTTAAATGATAGAAATCAAATATAGTTCTGTAGACAAGTGTACTGGTAAAATGTATACTGATTTAAACAGGTTACGCAATATACATATTGAGAAAAGGCACATAAATAGATAGCCAATGATTATAACAGCTTGTAACAGGTAGTAAAATAAATAAATACATCTACTATATACTGTGATGTGTACTGGTATAAACAGGCAGGGCTAATAAATGAGATGTACAGGTTGTAACCAGGCAAGTAAGCAGGTACAGTAGGTTATGTGACGGGGCTCTTTCACTGTAGTCATAGAAGAGCTTTCTGTGTTATGAGGTAGGAGGAGGAAGAAGAAGAAGAAGAAGAAGGAGGAGGAGGAGAAGAAGAAGAAGATGAATACTTTATTACTCCTGCAAAGGGGAATTCAATGTTTTTTCACTTATTATAATTCTTATCTACTTTATTAGTAGTGATGTCTGTACATTGTGTCTCACTACCTTTTCCCTACTGTGCAGTGACACTTTGCCTCTTTATGGTTACATCTCAGAAGCCAGGATAGAGCAAAGCAATATGGAAAAAAAGAAACCAAAACCAAGACCTGGAGTCTGTGAGGAATCATTTTCTCATCCCTGTGCTGTTGTTTCAGATGTGGAGGGAGTGTCAGACCAGGCTGTGTTTCTAAGCACACTTTGGTTCTGGGATGGGCTCTTTGGTTGCCAGCCTCTGCATTAGGCCTGGTTTCCTCAGAGTGCTCTGTGATGAGAGATTTCAAAGCATGAGTCTACTTCAGCACTCATTACTGCTGTTTGCACTGTAAAGCTAGTGTGATCCAGTAGGGGGAGACAAAGCCCACCTCAACTGTCAGCAGAGTTCCAAAACGATATGTAAACAAAATGTAAATAGTAACTTTGACTGTATATTTAGTATGTGTGAGCTTGCTTGCCTTGTCATTCTTTGAAATCCACATAATGTTTAAATCATCTGTGCTTATTTTAATTCTTACTCTTGACAAATCCCACGCTCTGAAACTGGCAGACACTCGGACTTCATCAGTATGGACTTGACAAGTGGTGATTTTTGTAGTCTATATTTTTAAATAATTACTCTCCCCCCGTCCTTTCTTAGACATTTTTGGCTCCTCTCCATCAAAAAGTATATAATCTCCAGAAGCCATGTCAGAAGCCTCCTTTCCTGTTTTAACAAACTACCATCACTGACAGCAACCACTTAAATGCTCGTCTGAGAACATTTTGAGCACTCTGTACTCAGGTTCAGGGCAGTGCAGAGACCTCTGGAAGGGAAGGTGCTCAAAGTATAAAAGGGGCACATTGAACAAGGATCTAGGGCTGCTCTCAAAATATTGATACAGAAATATCTCGTTATGTATTCCTTGCTGATGTGCGTATACAGATGCTTCTGTATGGATAAATCAGCAAATGCTTTGACACAGTTTTGAAAAAGAAACACAGGGAATACCCAGCTCTGGTACACGGGCTGACATAACTTACAGGGAACAGTTGCTGTTGAGGGGTTGCTGGTGATGTTGCTGCTGATTCTACTGGAGGTGACCTGTGACTAGAGATATTATAACAAACATAGGATATATATTAGCTTATTAAACAATTATGTGACTATGACAAGATGTAAAGACTGCTGAGTGTTTAGGACTGGCTCACTATGACTGGCCTCCTGTAGTGCTGCAGCTGCTGGCAAGGCTGACTGCTTCGAGAAAATAAGAGGAAGATGCTCACAAAGACTGCTGCACTCCATGAGCTGCAGGTAGTGAAAACAAGATACCAGATTCAAAAAAGTGTGGGGAATAATCTGAGAAGGATACAGAACTAGGAGAAAGACGAGGTTGGCCAAGGCAGGGGTAAGAGTGAGAAAATCTATAGAAGTGTGTGTGTCTATAGGCTATATTTTGTATATGTACTGTATGTTTAATGATTTTATATATTGCATTGTGAATCTGAGATATATTTTGATTGACTATAGGTCTAATCTTAAATCTAAATAAATAAACCAAGATGTGTGTGTGTGTTTATTCTGTTCAGGCCCGGATTGGCCCTCTGGCAATTCTGGCACATGCCAGAAGGGCTGGTGTGATTTTCTATTGTTTTGGGCTGAGCTGACCAGTTGCTGCACCTACCCACAGAGAGATGGGCCGGCCCATATTTATAGGGGTTATAGGGGGGTTTCTCCCCCTACTGGCAAGTGATATGGTAGGACGTGAGAGGAAGAGGCAGAAGCAGAGGCCCTCCCCTCTGCCCAAAGTAATATGCTCCACGTCAAGAGCACGCAACCAACATAAAAAAGCGGGGGAAAGACTAAAACAAATCTTGCTAGCATTTCAGTAGCCGATCTGCAGGTAAAATGGACAAAAAGACGAACTTTGTGAAAGTAAAGGGTGGTGCAGAAAAAATAAGGGACAAAAACGCAAATGTCTTGAGGCCCGTGCTGAAAAATATCCCAAGATAAAAATGATTCTCCCCCACAGTCAGCTCAAAATAGTGCTAACATTGTCAGTGTCAGCCAGGCACAGAAAGCTGACGTTAGCCAGTTACTTTTACTTTACTTTTACTTTTTTACTTATCACGTGCTAGCAGCAGTTCTAGCAATGTTACACCCACTGTTGGGGGCCTCGAGTA